AAGAATGTATTCTAATTGAAGAAATAAAAGTTCACATAAAAAGATTCTTCATACCCTACGATGATCATGTAGTGAAATTAGATTTTATTGTTTTATTAGTATTACTGTTGAAAAGTCAGAATACTCACTCTCATTTACACGTCCATATAAGAACCTCTCGCCTTTCCAGTATTCCAGAGGTCTCATTCTAATTCTTTTGCTTCTTCTTACTCCAGTTTCAAATGATGTACCAGACTCTGTAGAGGCAATGTGTCTATTACCACTCGAGAATAAATAATTATAACAGAAGTGTTGTAACAATAGATGTACAAGTTAAAAACCTGCAAGACTTTTTCTCAGTGGATGAGCTTTTCTGAGGCGGTTTTCACTTGCTTCTCTATTTGATTTCCGTTTCCTGATGTGATGTGTCTGAAATTTGAATATAAAACATTTCAATTCTCTTAGATCATTTACAAATATTTCAAGAAAAAGCACAACAAATGCGAAAGTCTGATAACATAATTGCCCTTTTAGTCTCTTTCAGTAACACCAATTCCTTTTGCATGTACCAAACTCTGATGTGAAATTGATGGAGCAAACATTACCAAATAGTAATCCACAAAGTGAGAAACCAATCATACATATACCTGAACTCAAACACATTTATAGTTCAATAGGCACAAAGCAAAAGAATCATAAATTCTGAAAAGTACTACAATTACAAAGCCAAAGCCTCTTTACCTAGAAAAAACAAGTTGGGCAGAAGCAACAGAGAGGCAAAGAATAAGGGAGAGAGCAAGGTACACAAAATCTTTTTCAAATTTCCAAAGAGCTCAACTACCTTGATTTCAACATATCATAGATCTTACATTACACCCTTGTGATCCCCGAATGCACACACAGAGAGAAAGAAGTTGATAAAATAAGAAAGTGAAGAAAAGAAATGCGTTTAAACTTTTTATATAGAAAAAGAAGCTGTGTGAATGATCTACAACAACATTTCCATCTTTTCGTGGTATTCAAATCATACTCACACTTGCAAATCATTCTAACATGCACATGTTAGCTTAAGCACTCGTAATCCATATTGCAGGACAACATAGATGACAGACTATGACCCATACATATACTCCAGTTATCAAAATGATTAAAATAATAACAGTCGCAGTGAACTAACACATATTCAGGTAGTTTTATAGTTCATCCATGCAACATAATCCATGGTGAAGAAGTCCCGAAATTATGGGATTCTATTAATTGTATAGTGTGATTTATTGGATACCTTGTTTAAGTAATCATTAGTTAGGGCAAGTTTTTTTTCCCCTTTATTAGGAGATTATCTTCCTTTTACATCATCTTCATAGTAGTATAAATGAAGGTTCATAGCATTGCATTGATTATCGAATAACATATACAGAATTATTCAGTCTTCATAATTCTGTCATTTCTATCTTTATGGTATCAGAGCCTACATTCCAATAACCTAACTATCAATGGCAGATTTCACCGTCAACAGCAAAGAATATACCTCTGAAACATCTCAATTTGGAACAGAGGCAAACTCTTCAATTGGCTCCTATGGAGTCGAAAACTCGTCTCTCCAACTCACAGTGGAGAAACTGAATGGAAGAAATTTTCGAGAATAGGCCAAATCAAGAAAATTAGGGATCGATAGAAAGGGGAAGCTGGGTTACCTTACCGGCAAGACAGAGACCAACGGATGCCACCCTTCTTCAAAAGTGGAACTCTAAAAACTCAATAGTAACGATCTGGCTCGTGAACTCCATGAAACCTTCCAATGGGAAGACTTACCTCTTCAATCCGACTGCAAAGGATGTATGAGACATCATGAAAAAGACATACTCTGATTTTGAAAACTCATCACAGATATTTGAAATCAAGACTCGCCTATGGCAGACAAAGCGGGGATCGAGAGAGGTTATGGAATATTACATGGAGATGGTGAACCTCTAGCAGGAACTCGATCTCAGCCTCGAGCAATAATGGGAGTGCCCAAACAATAGCAGCAAATACAAAAAGAAATTGGAAAACGAATGTGTATGAGTTTCAACCTGGGCTGAATCGAAAAAAAATTGACGTCAAAGGCTGAATTCCTGGCCGACAATAGCTATAGTCAACGCGTTAAGTATTTGTAGAAGTCCGTCGGGAAGAAACACGAAGGCAAATTATATTGTAGGATACGACTAGAACTAGCGAGATGTTGGCCCTATCTGTTAAAGGCAATGGGCCTTTGCTTTTTAAAGCTAATAGGCCTGCAAGCAATAGGTTTGGAATTGGACCTCTATTTTCAAAAACTAATGGACTAGAAATAGAATTTAATTATGGGTCAAGATCTAGACCAACAATTGGAAATGGATCGGGAGTGTCGGGCCTATCATGTCAAATAGGTCAACTCATAATCAGCAACGAGAACGAACTTGTGTGAACATTGTCGCAGGTCGGGGTACAAGGAAGACACATGTTGGAAAATACATGGAAAACCCACAAATTGGAAACCAAGACAAAAAGCTAAGAGCCGGGGGTATCAAGCAGAGACAACAACTAATCCCTCTCCAAATGGAGCAACTATATCAAATGTTCTCTAGCCTCCAAGCATCGGGTCAATCTTCCACTAAAAGTCCATCAAGTTCAGTGGCCCACAAAGGTAATTTTTTGAAAGCTTCAAGTACTATCACACATAGAGGTGTCAAGACGGACGGGCCGGCCATGACCCGTGAAAACCGGCCCGTGAAAATCGGGACCGCGGGCCGACCCGTGACCCTTGCGGGCGGTTCACGGGCCAATGAGGTGTAACCCGCGGGTT